ATTAACATATGCCATACATCAATTGATTTATATGGATAATCAATACATCCAAAATAGTTTACATCGTGTACACAATAATTACGGCATTACATCGGCGGTGACGGTTGACCGCACGTACTTTCTCCTCACTATTGTTCCCTCCTTGTGATCGCTGCGTGAGTAAGGGGTGTCTTCATTTGATAGGAGGATGCTAGGGTCAATCGTCACCGTGAAAGGGGGTTGCCCATCCAACTGATCGTAATCCTCGTCAGTCTTGTCCTCAACTCCGACGATTTTTCTTTTGCCTGGGAGAACCACTTGACGCTTAGGCTCATCAGGCCCTCTGCCCTTCTTTCCTTTGCTAGACATGTCCTTCACGAAAAAGACTTGCGTTACATCATTGGCAAGGACAAAAGGTTCGTCCGAGTATCCAACCTTGTTAAGGTCAACAGTTGTCATCCCACTGTCATCAATCATTACGCCTCCACCAGTCAACCTAACCCATTGGCACCGGAACAGAGGAACCTTGAGAGGACCATAGTCAAGTTCCCATATGTCCTCGATGGCACCGTAATATGTGGCAGTTGTTCCATCGTGTCCCATGGCATCGACACGAACAGCGCTGTTTTGGTTCGTGCTCTTCATGTCCTGGGCTCTCGTGTAGAATGTGTACCCATTGATCTCATATCCCTAGAATGTCGCGATAGACCAGACGGTCCCCTCGCAGGAAGGCAAGTTGTTGGTTGATCGACTCGTTACCCATGAGATGTTGTCGTAGCACGCGGGGAAAGTATCAATGTGATGCCGTGTAATCCATGCAACGGACTTACCGATGTTCCTGGCGCGAACTAGAGCCAAGTGCTCCTCGATGTAAGGAGCTACCAATGAAGAGTGTTGCAGAACAGTGAAATGGGCTTTACGGAATAAATTGTTGTCTACCGTCCTTATTGCTTTCCTTCCGAGAGTTCCCTTTCCCCGTAGTCTCCCTTCATGGCGTGATTCAGGTACCCCGATTGGGCGGAAGGTCTTTCGATAAATTCTAACGCAAAAAATTCGAATGACCTCCTCTGTTCCATAACCCTTGGCGATGCTTGCCTCTGGACGAGCACGGTTACGAACATACTTCTTCAGAACGCCCATGTACCTCTCGAAAGGAAACATGTTGTGTAGGTACATAGGCCCGAGAATACGGATCTCTTTCACAAGGTGACAAAGCAGATGCGTCATTATATTGAAAAATGAAGGTGGAAATATCAACTCAAAACTGACGAGACATTGCACCACTTCATTCTGAAGGGCTTCTAATCTATCCGGATCGATGACCTTCTGCGAAATTGTGTTCATGAATGCACATAGCTTTGTTATTGTTGCCCGGACATTGTCTGGAAGGATACCCCTTATTACAACTGGTAGCAGTTGTGTCATCAACACGTGACAGTCATGAGACTTTAGGTTTATGAACTTCTTCTCCTTCGTGCTTATTATTCGCTTGATATTCGTGGAGTATCCAGACGGTACCTTTATGCTCTCCAAGCATTCAAACATACTTTCCTTCTCTGCCTTGCTAAGAGTGTAGCTGGCTGGACTCAAGTAATGGCTTCCTTTCTCCTTTGGTTCCGGGTGAAGGTCGCCGCGTTGTTCCATATGCTTCAGATCATTACGTGCTTCCAGTGTATCTTTCGACTTTCCGTATACACCTAGGAAGCCAAGAAGGTTTACGCAAAGGTTCTTAGTGAGGTGCATCACGTTGATTGCGTGGCGTACGTCCAAGAATTCCCAATATGGTAACTCCCAAAATATAGAGTTCTTTTTCCACATCGCCGCGTGACCATCTTCGCTCTCTATATGCTGGCTTCCAGGCCCCTTTCCGAACACTACTTTAAGATCTTTAACCATAGCAAACACTGCTTTCCCGCTGCGATGTTTAGGATTCGTACGGTGGTCGGCCTTATGTTCGAAGTGCTTGCCTTTCTTCCGTACCGGGTGGTTTGCTGCAAGGAATCGACGATGACCCATGTATACAACCTTCCTACAGTGCTTAAGATACGTACTTTCTGTTTCATCCATACAGTGAGTGCAAGCCTTGTACCCCTTGTTGGACTGTCCGGATAGGTTGCTAAGTGCAGGCCAATCGTTGATGGTTACGAACAGCAGCGCTCGTAGGTTAAACTCCTCCTGTTTGTCCTCGTCCCACACGGGGACACCTTCCTTCTTCCACAACTGTTTAAGATCTTCGACCAGTGGTCTTAGGTACACGTCGATGTCGTTACCAGGTTGCTTGGGGCCTTGAATAATAATCGGCATCATTATGTACTTCCTCTTCATGCATAGCCAAGGGGGGAGGTTGTAGATACACATCGTAACGGGCCAAGTGCTATGGCCGCTGCTCATCTCTCCAAAAGGATTCATGCCATCCGTACTCAAACCAAACCGTATGTTTCGTGCGTCCTTTCCAAATTCTTTAAATTTTCTGTCGATGTTTCGCCACTGCGAACCATCGGCGGGGTGTCTCAGCATCCCGTCCTGTTGACGCTCTTCAGCGTGCCATCGCAACATTCTAGCATTCCCCTTGTTCCTGAACAAACGCCTTAGCCGTGGTATTATAGGGAAATACCACATCACCTTAGCAAGATTCTCTTCTTTGTTAGCTGCCCGTCAACTTCTCCTGGATCGTCCCGTCTAATCTTGTATCGTAGTGGTTTGCAAACAGGGCTTGCTTCTAGGTTCTCATACTCTTCACCGGGATATAGGATACAATCGTTCGGACATGCGTGAATCTTATGAACTTCCAGTCCTAACGGGCAGACTATCTTCTTAGCCTCGTACGTTGTCTCGGGCAATTTGTTTCCCCCCGGAAGAATGTTCTTGACGAGTTTCAATAAATCGCCAAATGCCTTGTCACTAACCCCATTTTTTGCCTTCCATTGCAACAACTCCAGAGTGGTATCCAACTTTTTGTGCCCCTGCTCGCAACCTGGGTACAACGAAGTTCTGTGGTCCTCCAACATCTTGTCCAATTTATGGGCCTCCTTTTCACTTTCGCAGTCTTCCCTGGCGTCCTGCAACATCTGACCAAGATCATCCGCAACGTCGTTACCATCAGCAGCTATTTCCTCCTCGCCCGTTTGATTTCCTTCAAATCCAACATACTGAGCAAAGTCCGGAATATTGTCGTCTTCCACTTCATCTTCTTCCATTTCAACACCTTGCTCTCCGTGGGATGTCCAACAATTATAGCTTGGCATGAACCCCGACTCAAACAAGTGGAAATGAATAGTCCTGGATGCAGAATACTCCTTCTGATTCTTACACTTATTGCATGGACAACAAATAAAACCCCTTTGCCTGTTAGCTTCGGCCACTCTCAAAAAATAGTGCACGCCGTCAATAAACTCCTTTGGAACGCCGGTCAGCGTACATCCATTGCCGATCCATCTACATGAGTCAAAAAAACCGCACACAAATAATTATTCTTACAATAATGACAGTCATACAATAATTATAAGATATCTTTATTCATACAAAAATCATAAAATATCACACCAAATAATTCTTAAAAACTATTTGTAAAGTTTTAAAGTGTTTTACTTCTTTTAATTTTTATTTTAGTTTGTTTTCTATTATTTAATATTAACTTTCACTAGAGTTTTCCTTCTCAACTATTTTATAAAACCTTGTTTAGCAAATGAACTAAATTTCTATATATTCTTTCTTCCCCACACACATTTTCTCTCTCATCAACTTACAACTAAATTTTGGAGACAAAAAAAGTGTGCAAAACATATGTGCAAATGTAGTATGACAAAAAAAAACATTGGAGGATGAAGTTGCAAACCTTTTAGGCACCTCCGATTTGTATGTAATCACCAAAATAAATTCAATAGAAATTTTGGCATGACCTCCCCTCTTTTTTGAAGAAATTTTGAAGCTTACTCGGGCAGCTGGAGGAGGAAGAAGACATATATATAGGGGTGGGACTTTAGCCCCGGTTGGTATTACCAACCGGGACTAAAGTTAAGATCTTTAGTCCCGGTTGGTAGCACCAACCGGGGCTAAAGATCACCGGGATCTTTAGTTCCGGTTGGTATTACCAACCGGGACTAAAGTTAAGATCTTTAGTCCCGGTTGGTGCTACCAACCGAGACTAAAGGTCCCGGGGGGGCCTGACAGGTCCTGACAGCATTCGAACCGGGACTAAAGATGATCTTTAGTCCCGGTTGGTAACACAAACCGGGACTAAAGATCAAATATGCCCGTTACCCTTTTGAACCGGGACTAAAGGTCATCTTTAGCCCCGGTTTTTATTGCATCCGGGACTATTGTGGAAATCGGCCGACCGACGAAAGATGGTTTCTCTACCAGTGTTAGATGGGTGTAATTTAATACATAAACTTATAAAATGCTCGTTTAGTTACACGAACTTGTCTAGTTCGTGCGAACGAGAACCAAAATAGCTTCGCAATGTTAATTTTACAAAAGTTGATGTTGATTAGAATGTGACGTGCATACGTGTAATGAGTATGCATAAGACATATAATATTTATAAATTTGATCTGTACTTTATCCTTCATCATGGAAGTGATGAATTTCATATATTTCTAGCCCTTATATTATTACTCGGTTTTTTTTTATCATTTTCTACGATCACTATATCTCATTCTATTTTTATTGAAGATGTGTTTTTCTAATAGCAACCTTCTCAGATATATATTTACCTAGTATCCCGATGAGCCCCTAAATCAGTAAGATTGGCCATGTTGTTTGTTTTTCGCCTTCCTCCGCACGCACCAGACAAATTCATGTACCAAAACGAGCATTTTACAAGTTGGTGTACTAGGTTACACCCACCTAACAAGTTCGTGTATCGACGATGCAATTTGCTCAATTAATTACTTAATTGTATGGTAGCAAGGCGAAGCAAAGCAAGAGTATGCATGCGGTGCGGATCATGCGAAGCACTCCACTTATAAGTACATCATACTGAACACTGAAACCAAGCAGCATCCCAGTGCCACATTCTACTCCAAACACCCCAAGAGGCAAGAGGCAAGAGCGAGATGATCCGCTCACCACACGCCGCGAATTCCCTGCAACTTTTGCTTGTCTTCCTGCTGGCGACGACGACGCTACTGACATCGGCGAAGGATTTGGCTGCGCCAAGAAGGCAAGAAGGGCATGGCCGGGTGGTTCCATCAACGGCCACCCTCGCCGGTTGCCAGAGCTCATGCGGCGATCTGACCTTCGTGTACCCCTTCGGCATCGGCTCCGGCTGCTTCCGAAGTCCCGACTTCGAGCTCACCTGCGACTCCACCACAAGCCCTCCGAGACTCCTCTTCCACGATGGTATCACCCAAATTGCTGGTAGTATTAACATCGTTTCTACAGAGTTTATGGACACAGATAACAGTGTTAGCACCCGCTTTTCTCATACCATCTCCATGAGAAATGCATCCGTTGTGAGCTGGTCGTTATCTCCAAAATTGCTTGAACATTCTCTTGATGCTTTTTACCTGACGCTGTGGGGACTACGTTTCTCCGGCTGTGACTTTGATGTTTATTGGTTAAATCGTCCATCAATCAACAAAGCAACTCCCAACTGCACAGCAACCTGTCCTAAAGGAGAGAGCACGGGTATGGTGTCTCCTATGCAGCATTGCAACGGCACAGGATGTTGCACTATCGACTTTGGTGCCGAGATCAATGCTTATTCATCTACTATCGAATTTAAATTCGTCCGCCAAGCAGAAACCAATCTAGAATCGTACCATAACCGAAGCTTGTCATGGGATACGATCTATATCACTGATCCTGCTTCGCGTGGTCTCAGTTGGAAGATCCCTGATCAACCAGACTGCGCAAGCGCCCGTAAAAACCAGACGAGCTATGCTTGTGTTAGCAACAAGAGCATTTGCATCGACCCAGACGACGTCAAACAAGGCTACAACTGCATGTGCCGTAATGGCTACATAGGCAATCCTTATATTTTGGATGGCTGTTCACCGAATAATGGTAATCTCCAAACCCAATGTTTTTTTAATGCGTACTAGCATTTGTTTGAAAAGACAGCGATAGACTAAATCCCTTTATTAGAAATGAAGTACCTCGTCAATCTTGATCCAATTTGAAGGGATTAAAATCAAATATGCACATATCTCTCTCATAGAAACAGAAGCTGTAGTCCTATAGCCTGCACATCTTTTTTTTAAGCCAATCTGCAGCAAACAAAATATGGAGAACTGTAGAATAAACTATCATTCAGTTCAAATTTTCTTACTTACCAGTCATATAAGTTTACACAACACACTGTAGGTAAGCTTAATATATATACAACTCTAGTATAACTTTATTTTAATTTTCATTGATTGTTTTTAATTTATCTGTTGACGAAGATGCATTGTGATATATTAATTAGAATATTTTTCATTCTCCATTGGTAGGGATTGTAAAAGTGATAGCATTCATTTAAAGTTAGATTATACTCTGTGTTACCTTCTCAATAACTGAATATGAGTGTATCGAATGATGATCTAGTGGCAGAAAAAAAAGTGATACATAGACAATTTCGGGCATTTAGATAAATAGTTTTGAAGATTCAAATATATATGCTAATAATCATGAATGATTTATTTTTCTTTTCTTTGGAATCAGAGTATAACCCATTACAACGGAAAATGAATTGTATCCGCCAGTGCGGGAATATCAGCGTTCCATTCCCGTTTGGCTTGGAAGAAGGTTGTTTTGCAACAAAAGGATTTTACCTCAACTGCACAAATTCGACATCATCAACCCTCCTATTGGAAGCTAGCCAGCATCAAGTGACAAAACATATACGTGGACAACGGGACTCTTGAATACATTGACCAGGGAGCTTATTATTATGAACCGGGGCTACAAAGTTTCTATTTTCAGGTTGGGACACCAATTGTTTCTGTCCTATGGGTTGCTGCTCATCTAACATGTCAAGATGCAAAACGAAACAGCTCTGGATATGCCTGCATAAGCACCAACAGCGAGTGTATAACAAGCAAACCTACTGATACGTTTGTTGGTTACCGATGCAAATGTGCACAGGGATACCAAGGAAATCCATACATAACAAATGGTTGTGTCGGTACGTACTCCCTGTCTCAAGTAAACATTAATTGTAAATGCACTTCATAGGACATTGTCATTTTATCCATGAACTTCTACCGGGAAAAAGTTAAGATCGACACCATTAAAATGTTCCCGTTCTGATTTAAGGTTAAGTGAAGTAGGATTGGGCAGGGTCATCTCAAGGAAGTTAAGGCTTAATTTGGCATGAAATACAGATAGGTCCTAAAATTACAAGAACTGTAATACTTTCATTTAATCACACAACTTCATTTCCTACTATACTAGGAATGAATGCAATGTTAAGGTTAAAAAAAATTAAAAGGTAGTACTCAAGCAGTAATCCAACCTCATGTTATTTCTTTGATTAAGATTACTTAAGTAAGTGGATTAGGATTTGGGGCCAATTTTATAGGCCCCTATGCGGTTGGTCAACTCGCCATGCTAATTGACGGTCCTAGGAGGATTAATGTGAAATTTTAATTATATTTTAAAGGGATGGTCGTAGGTGGTGGTCAAACCACCGGTGACCGGCGGATATAGGTGGGTGACAAGACAATAGCAATGATGTAGGAGTTGCAGGGAAGGGGGCATTGGATCTTGAGTGACTAGGTGGTGGGGTGGCTGCCAAAGATGTGTAAGACGGAGGGGTGAGTGCACCTTGCTGCTCTCTAGATTGGTTGTTGGGACCTCGCCGGCACTGACAAGGCTGGAGAGCCGTGCATTGGGCAAGGGAGGTGGTGGTCTAGGCCAGCGGGCGAGGACCACGTCGTGTGCTGTGACGTAGTTGATTTCTTACTATAACCCTTATTATGGTAATGAAAATGATTAGGGTTGGGTTCCTAATTCTTTATTTGAAAAGGAAGTACAAAATAAATAAGAGGTACTACCCAATCACAAAGTATCATTAGTTCCATTTGCTAGACTATGAATCTTATAACTATGAGGTCATAAGTTCAAATATGTTATTTTTATTTTTGCAAAGAAGGTCGGATTTGAGATGAAAAAACCGGGAAAAGGAGAGAAAAACCAAAGGGAGAGAGAGATTGGGAGGGGAGGGGGTTCGGGAGAAGGACCTGAGGGAGAGAGAATGAGAGGAAGCACCGAGGGTAAGGAGAGAAAAACCAGAGGGGGATAGATTGGGAGGGGGCCAGTGAGGGAGAGAGAGATCAGGAAGGGGTGCTGAGAGGAGGAAGGATAAAAAAATGGAGAGTAAGGGATCGGGAGGCAAAGAGGGAGCGCCGGGAGGAAGGAATCAAGGAGAATGGAGGGTGTGCGAGAGGGGGGAGAGGTGGCGCGCATGGAAGGGGGCGGGAGCTGTGGGGTGCAGGCTTAGTGGGCTGTGGGGTGGGGTGGGGTAAGATTAGTTAATCGCAAAAACTACTTCGAGAAGCCTCTCGATTTAGGCTTAACGAGCGACACCAGCCATACATGAGAGAAGTACTACTACACGTCTACAAACATGCATGCCTTTTTTGCTATTAGGTCATGCATATATTTTTTTTCCTTCTTATATAATTTTCTATTTAATTACTTATCTGATCTACAATCCAATTACACCATTGTGTTTGTTGCAATTAAATCTTTATAACAAGATCTTTCATGATTATATTATTATGAAAAAATATTTATGTTTGTAAATTACTTTTACTATTATATATGTAAGTTACTTTTATCATATATATATATATATATATATATATATATATATATATATAACTTTTAGATTTGATTAAATTACTCCTTAGAGTAAATTGCACCCACGGTGCAACAACTTAACAGGTGGGTGCAATTTGGGGCAATAACTTGAAAATTGAGCGTTCTAATGCAACAACTTGGTAGGAAGGTGCAGTTTAGTATAAGAACTTTATAAGTGATCGTATAAATGCAACAACTTACAAGGTAAGTACAATTTTGATACAATAAATTAAGAAGTTATGTGACAACTTAATTATTTAGAGTATTTTTTATATAAATTAAAATTTTTAAGTACGTATTTTGACAATATACTAGCGTGGATTTGTATAAACATATTTATATTTTTATCCTAATAACTAATAATTGAAAGTCAATTAAACGAATTATTGTATTTCGGTTGACATATGAGAAGGTGAAGAAAATAAAAAAATTCTTAAAGGTAACTTAATGTAATTTTATGTGTAATATAATTCTTAAAGATTAAATTCAATATTATAAGGTAATATCTGTAGGATTACTTTGTATTGGCATATTGACATCGTGAAAAACCTCATCACCTAGCATATGCTTAGCCAAATTGATTCACCAAAATACTAAATTGTCAAGTTCTTGTATCAGAACGCATCCACTTGTTAACTTGTTGCACTCGGATGTTCAATTATCAAGTTCTTGCGCTATATCGCACCCACCTGCCAAGTTTTTATACTGTGGATGCAATTTACTCTACTTCTTATACATTTACAATGCTCCGAGTTGATTACTTTTATTATTGTTTTTAGTGAATTCCATAATTTGTGCTGACTAAATTAACTTTTAGATAGACCCATGTTTTTATCTCTACAATAGATTTACTTCTAATGTCGTAACAACTTACTTTCATAACTATATTTACTTGAAAATCTTCTCTACACTTTGCTTGTGAATTTACTCCACATAGTTTCTTATGTCAACTCAATCATAATGTAATTATTTCTAATGATATAGAGAGTAACTTCTATTGCATAGCTAAGTTACTTTTACAATCTAAATAAATTACTGTTAAATTGCATATATTTTGAGTAGCGTACAATGATGCAAATAGATCTTAAAAATAATATGTGATTTAAAATATATAAGTCATTAAAGAGGTTAAAAAGGACATGAGCCATTATATTTTTTAAGCTAAAGGGGATTTATACCTGGGATGGAGTGGTCAGTGCTTTAAGCAAACCAGCGACCGAATGTTATGTAGTCGTGTCCTTACTTATTCTATGGGGTTTGTACATCAGAACTGTCGTATATATAAACCCATATAACCGTCAACCGTATCTAAAGCTGATTTCTCTCTATAAAATTCTTGATCCATAAAGGCACTTTTTAGGAGCTCTCATGTAAATCAGAAAGATCTAGCCATTGATTTAACATGTCATACAATTAGCACCGCTGATTAAAATCAATCCCACTTTTAAAGCAGATATAGTCCGTGTTTTAAAGCCCATCTTAAACCCATATAACCGTCAACCGTATCTAAAGCTGATTTCTCTCCATAAAATTCTTGATCCGTAAACAAGAGAGCAGATGGATATCGTGTAGATCGAGCACACGGGAGATTGGCGGCTATTTTCGTCTGCGATCTGGCTGGGCCTGAGTCTGCTGATCGACGGTGCACGCGTGCAACAAGGGAGGGAGATTCAACGCTGCTCCATGGGACTTCACGTCTGGCAGATCCTCGCCTCACGCAGGTTTGCGGCAGCAGCGAACAAAGGCTGCCCTCATTTGAGAGCTTTGAGAGTTTCTTCATGACGTGTGATGGAAGATACACAAAGAGCAAAGCAAAGCAAGGAGGTAAATCAGAATAAATTAGATGTTGACATTGTTAATTTATTGTGCGCCCCGGGCGACTTGGCCAAATATATGTAGCGGGACCTGCATATCACACATGCATCTGCAGCAGGCAACAAGCACGAAAAGGAGTTCAGCACAGCAATTCAATTAATTTGAATCGAGGGTATCAAGTTTACAGAAAGAAATCAATTTCATCGTGCATGGGTGCAGTAAAAGGCGATGAAATCTTCACGCAGAGGAATTATCAAGATTAGCCACAAGCACGCAAGGGCCAGCCTTCTTAAAAGCCAATCCCTCGGTATTTTTTTTTAAAAAAAACAGTTATTGTAGATAACATATCTCAGGTTTTGCTCTTAATTTCCAACTACGCTATCATCATCTTCCAGGAATATTACATTAAGGATAAAATTATTATTTTGACTATGTATTAAGATCTGAGTGTTGATAGTAAAAATAAAAGTAACCCATGCAACACATGTCACGCAAGCATAGACCTTCATGTGTTTTTTTTTTTTCAATCAAGATTCTCCAACGTATTTTTTTTTCACAATCTTAGTTGGTTTCTAATTTTTGTTCCTGAACTAAAACTACGTTAATCGTGACTCGATTACATGAGCCCTCATCTGACCACATAAATTTCAGATTTTAGAGATGTTGATCCATAAATCAAAAAAATTGCTTGCACACAATAAGGTTATGGTCTTCTCATCTGCCATCCACAATGGCATTTATTTGAACTAGCACGTTTTATGCAACCTATTTAAGACCCAATTTCTAATTTATATTGAAATAAAAAAAATCATTGCTGGCATTTTAGCTGTTGAATGACAAAGTTCTCTAAAAAACATACTTAATAATATTTTTAAGTAGAGAACATAAGTACTAACATAAATATGCCGTTCATCCAAACATATTTGTTTTACTGAATATATGATTCCATTGACAAAATTTAATGCAGCACAATAATCCGGATTTTCCATGCATTAAAACCAAAATCTAATTTGTGTTTAACATCACGGGTCACTTCTAAAGTCCATTTAATCTGCATAAATGACTTATAGTGTTTATAATTACTAAGACTCTAAACCAAATAGAGCTCAGCTTTAATGAATTATAGTGTTTAGAATTACTGAATCACGATAAAACTATAAATGAGACATCAAACCGAGTATATTTTAATATTTATTAATTCAAATTACTGTCATTATATTACAGAATAGTTATAATTGAGAGACATATTGAATACACTCATAAAAAATCTCCTCTGTGTAAATTAAAAGAATTTTGATGATTTATTTGTTACCATATCCAATTTATGTAATTGATACATCATTCAAACGGTATCAATTTACTCTATAATTACAAATAAAATAACTGTATACTTATTTTTGATGTTTTGATTATCTAGAAATGCTAGATATTAATTACATTTGTATTTTCCTGTCGGATTCCATGGTGGCGAGCTCTATGATAGAAACTTACTCCCTCTGGTTCTATATTGATTGACATTTTAGACAAGGTCATTGTCAAACTTATATAACTTTAATCATCAATAACTTTAAAAATATTTAGTTTAAAGTAACTAGAACAACATATATAACATATATAGATTTGTCTTTCAAAGTAATATAAAAAAGTAAACATATATTTATTTATTATATATATTATAATAGAAAAATAAGGTCAAAGATATATTTTATAGACCGTGTCATTGTTCAAAACGTCAATTAAAATAAAATTGAAGGGTGTAATCATGTTGGTGGGTTCACAGGGAAGTTCCAACAAAAATGCGAGGTACTATTTTATGATTTGCAAATTACCAATAAGTAATTTATTTGTATAATTAATTAGTCGATTTCACATGAAATGCAGTGCTACTCTTTGAAGTCCGTCTGCATTGACTGTCAATTTCACATGAATCATGAAAATTTTAATTGCATATTCTAATTATAAAGATCACTATAAAAAGCATAGTAGTCTGTACGCGTAATTGGAGATTAATTAGCATTCCAAAATAAACCTACAATTCAAAATTAATAAATAGGAAGTTATGTCTGTCTCTTAATTTTTATTACATTAATTTAATTAGAAAATTCAAAAGTAATAGTTAGTATGTGAAAATGGTGTGGATTCTATCTTTAATCAAAAGCAATGGATCTGAAATTCATTAAAAAAATATGAAGTTGTACCCATCTTTAACTCTTAAGTTAGTATTTCATTTTATCAGTTTCATAATGGCGTTCAAAGTTATCAATTAGATATGATTATTAAATGTTTAAAAATTATAATATAATGAAAATGTAAACATAATATTTATAATATCAGTACCAATAGCCCCGTGCGAGTCACGGGTTGACAACTAGTAAGGCTAATTCATGATAAAAGATGAGAGAAACAATATCGTTGACATACTTGTGGGTCGTCCTTTGTATGGGAATGCAAGCAGAGCCATGGAAAGAATAGAAAGAATTAGCACTGTGGCTTTAA